TAGCCCTTTGAGGCAAACTATATTATGGACATTTGAATTTGTTTTTATGTCGACATTATATTGCTCTGTATAGATTAAATAGCTCTTTTTGTGGATCAGTTCTAATATTTTTATGTTACTAGGATTATATACCAACGGATTTTTTACCTTACTATATATATATATATATATATATATATATATATATATATATAAGCATGTTTTATTGAATAATTTAGACAGCTTTTGTCTACTTATTTTCAAATGGATCCTTTCATATTCACGGACAAGATTTTTGGTGTCATTATTAAAAGAAGTGAGAAAATTACCGTGTTGATACATATTATTTTATTCCGACATATCACAATGTCATCTTCAGGGCATTGTTTATTTCGAGACCAATATTGTAGTGTTCATCATTTTCAAAACAAAAGCAAATAGAATATAATACTTCTTCAATTAATCTCCAAACATATTAATCTTTCATATCGCAACTACATTCATATCGCAATAACATTCTAATTATAAACAAGACGAAAATATCCTAAAAAAATAATAAATACTAACATTTTCACCAGAGACTCTATTAAAAAAATAAAATTATTTATATACTAAACGACTTATCCCCACCAAATAACGTCCTGCATAAAACCAACATTGTTTATAAATTTAAATGTCCTCTGGAAGATTGTATCTACAACGGAAAAAAAGTATATTTATGTTGGCCCCACTACGACCACGTTGTCTCGGCGGCTGAGTTTTCATTTGAAAAAAGCTTCTAACTAAACATTTACAACAGCATATTTGTCAATATTCGAAATTCAGAAAAACTCTTGCCGAATATACATTTATACTTTTTCATGAAAATAATAATCATAAACTAAAGATTCTCGAAGTTATCTATATTAAAAAATTGAAACCAAACCTTAATAAAATTATGAATACTGCACAAACGATTTAAAATATTTACAGTAGATAGTTTAATATATTGAGGTTTATACTAATAGTTTTTAATACTTAATTCGTAAAAATAAACTCTAGACAACACCATACTTAGTTACTTTCCTTGAAGTGTTAGTCAAGCCAATCATAGTACTCAAACCTAGCGTTCTTAACTTCACAAGTAAAAAAAAAATTTTCTTTCAGGTGAATACAGCAATTTTGTCTTTGAAAATAATGGACACTACAATATTTGTCTCGAAATAAACAACACCTTGATGATGAAATTGCATTGTGCTAAGTCGAAATTACTCTCTTCCTTTAATAATGACACTAAAAATGTCCGTGAATATAAAATAAATCCAATTGAAAATAAGTAGATACAACTTGTCTAAATTATTCAATGAAACAGGTCTCAATGGAAACATGCTGCCGAAATATATATATATATATATATATATATATATATATATATATAAGTATGGGCGTTTGTGAACAAAGAACATTTTAAGAATGGATTTTTATTAATCCTATAGATTTTTATCAATTTAAACGTTATTTTAGTCTCGTATTTGAGTAGGCGCTCCGTTTATTTATTAAACAGTGGATTTATTTATTTACGTCTACTGACCTGAATGTTCGAGAAATCTTATCGGAAATCTTATCGGAAAACTTATCTGAGAAAGTAAGTTTTTCTTTAATAAGACACACACACACACACACACATACACATATATATATATATATATATATATATATATATATATTAGAAAGGGATACTGAAAGGAGTTCGGAACTATTCCCACAATTATTTCTGTGACCATATATAAGAACATTGATTTTTGAAAAGTAGCCGGTCTCTGAACTTTTACACTACTCCTCGAATACACACACACACACACACACACACACACACACACACACACACACACACATATATATATATATATATATATATATATATATATATATATATATATATGCCTTTACAACCCAATTAATACTTAAAATAATCGCTGTTCGGTTCCATCTAAACGAGTGGATATTGAATGCTTCCTTCCTATCATGTCAGTATCTCTTGTGAAATCTTACGTTGAACGTTAATCATTTTTACTTTCTATTTAAGTCAGTATTTAGGGTTTTTATGTTCATTATTCACAAGCGTCCATGCGCTTAATTACGGCCTTTTTGATAAAATTAAACATACATCTTGAATGCTGACGATGTCGTCTGACGAGCCTATAGATAAGTTTTGAAGCCTTTTTCACTTTTTCAAGCATTATTAAAATATTCTAAAACCAGAAGTAAAAAAAAACGAAATTTTTCAACCAATAGACGAACCATATTTCTATCACGAAGTAAAATAAAGCACATACGCGTATAGCATACACACACACATACACGCCCGCGCGTACGCATACACACGCACATATACATATAAGTTAGCGTGTTTTGTCAATTACGCTATTCCTAGGTTTATGTCTTTTTCGTTTATATATATATATATATATATATATATATATATATATCAATACATACGTACACACGCATACACGCAGACACACACATATATATTTTCATAGGCATATGTTTATATTTTTAATAATTTGAATCAGATAATTGATTTGTGAACTCCATTTTTGTAAGAGATAACCATATTTTATTAAAAAAAATACGTTCTTAACATTTCTTGTCTATTCTTACCTCTGTAACTTTTTATTCAATTTCTAATTTTATTTGATGGATATTATCGAGCGCCATTTTTCTTTACACGCATTATAAGAAAGTGTTCAGATGATCGTCATAATTGGCAGCAGGAATGAATCTTTGTCACTTAATCGAGTGGAAGTTTTGGCAATTGTTTATTCATTTTTCTCCTTCGTTTTTCTTTCAACCAGTTTATCTTTCTGTTTTCAAAGTGTTCTTTGATTAAAAAGGCATTTGCTGGTTCAAAACTGATCATATAAACCAGTAAATATTTCACGAAAGGCAATTAAAAACAATTAATTTTCTTTGGCATCTTTAAACAAAATTCTTTTTGGAATCTTTAAACAATAGAAAAAAAATCTTGTAATGTTACATCTTTCTTTTCGAACTTTTTTCCGAAAATTCTATTAATAGAAAAGTAAATAACAATTGACTTTCGGAAAATGTAAAATTTTCTCTTCAAAATTCAATTAATGTGCGCCATGTTTTCAGTTTATCATCGCTTTTATTGGCCTTAATTCGATTGTATTCACCATGTTTTACTTGCCTAACTCTGTTTTTCTGATACATTTGATATATTCTTTTTTACACTATTCAATTGATTTTTCAGGTTTATTTTATTTTCTATACGACGTTGATTGTATCACGCTATTTAGGGAATTTATGTAGGAAGTTACATTGAGGTTTCTTTGCGTTGATATATTGCAATCAACGGCGTAAATGAACACAGACACCGAAGCACACGCATGAATATAAACATACGTTCCTGAACACGTACGCATGTACACAAACACACACGCGCGCGCACACATACACATGTGCAGATTGCACAAAGGAACACAATTCTAATAGAAGTGCTTGGTTTAAGTTTGAGAAGATTTTATTCAAGTGATATCTGGGATTATTTTTGAAACCGATATAACGAAAAGAGAAGTAAAAAATACAGTAATAAACATTTTTATATCACGCGAAAGCATAAAAATGAATTGGCCAGTCAATCTAGTCGTTGTATAAGCATTAATAGATCACAATTATTAATAACGAGATTCAATTGATAGTCTCAAAAGCTAAAACAAACACAAAAAGAAATCGCTGATTTGAACATTTTCACGGCATACACTTCAAGATTAAGGAATGTGTAAAGGCATAAATGCCAATATATCGCGTTGTCGAATGCGATAACATTTTCTGAATATGCTTCGGCAAATGAGTAGAAAATGATGATTTAATTTGATTATATAGCTGTAAAGACGTAAATTCACTGTGAACCTAATGCAATATGAGCATTTTAACACAGATACGCTTAACACAAATTGTTAAATAGCAGAACTTCTAAACAAGAATATACCTTTTGACGAGATTCGATCTTGTATTCTATTACCACTGGAGTTTTTAATTTTATGTGGTAAAGCATTCTATCGTCCGAAGGTTGATGAATATATGGACTTACTCCATCTCTCCATTCCTTTCCTACTGTATGCAATGTTACCTAATCTCTGTCATTTCTTTGTAATTATATTGTTGGTTGTTGTTGAAATTTTCCTGCATGGTCTCGGAACACAGATTATTCTATCTTCAATAAAGATGAAAGTATTACTTTTAGAATTTTTATGAGACAAATTCCATTTAATAATGATAGAAAATTGAAAGTAAAAATAATATTTCCGAAATTAAGAAGAAAGAAATAATCTCGTACGAAAACCGAATTTTTATCCACTGGGCTGGATATTTCATGTGACAACGTTTATAGTACCGTGTAGTATTACTTTTCTTTTAAGATTAGATACAGTTTATGACAGGGTAGCTGACGATTTTCAAAAAACGTTTATCAAAGTGAATAATATTCTATAATTCCTTTTTAAAAGTTTTCTAATCTCAAATATAATTCAATCAGGCAAAACAAAGCATGTTTAAAGGACATGAATGAAAATCCTATGATAGCCATTCATCGACTATGAACCGCCTCACTTCTATTTCTTACTTATTATAGTGCGGCCATATTTAAAACCAAAATGGGCGGTGCGCAGTCTATTCGTGTCTTTGATAGGAGGGAGATGACGATGACGGCGCGTCCGGGCATCAACACGGCCAGCTCTTTGCACGATTACTGCCTACAAGACTTAATCTTACGATCAGCGAATCTGCCCGCTTAATACAATAAGCTGGCTGGCTCATCTCTGCCCTTTGCAATTAATCCCACCAAGAGTGTGGATATGATTTCCCTTAGGATGGCACTGGCTTTGTAAATTTCGGCTCACCATCCCCTGTCTTTTCCGCTTCGTGTCCCTCACCCCATCCGCCGTCATTTCTCACGTCCGATGCAAAGTCGTTTATCAAAGGCGCCATCGCTTCTTGGCACCGTGTGTCAGTGGTTCTTATGAACAGGAGCAAAGAAAAAAGGCAAAAATGAAGGAAAAAGAAGAGATGAATGGAGAAAAGACAGACTGGACAAGCAATAGGGAAAGATATGGAATATCAAGAAGAGTTGAAGCAAAGAAAAGACAGAGAAGAATAGAGAAAGAATTTAAGATAGAAAGATGGTAATAGGAACAAAAGGAAGAAAAAGAACGCACGAAAGAAAGAAGAAAAGAAAATGCACAAAAGATGATATGCAGAACATTACAGAAACTGAAAAATATAGAAATATATGAAGCTAAGAGTCACGATCAAATCGAAACAAATGAAAGATTGACAAAAGAAAATGTAGAAAAGGAGAACGAGAAATAACAGTAAAAGAAAGAACGAACAATGAGAAAGTGGAAAAAGGGGTGATTAGTTGGGAAAGGAAGTGAGTCAAGAAAGTGAGATCAGAGGAAATTAGAAAGAAAGAAAGAAAGAAAGAGAGGGGGAAATATACAGTTGGATAAAGTACGTGGAGGTCATAAAATGGTCGGTCGGTAAAACTAATAGGATTAAAAGTTACTAGAGTAGAAGAGGATGTAAAAGAAAACTTAAAAAAAAAAAGAAAAGGAGAAGAAAAAAGAAGGAATGAAGGGAAACATACAGAATAGGAGAACGAGAAAGAGAAAGTAAATTAGAAAGAGAAATTGCGAGAAGAAAGTAAAGGAGTCTGGGAAAGAAAGAAATCGGCAATAGGAAAAATATTTTTGGTGAAGAAGAGAAAATTTTAGTATAATTGATTGCTGGAAGAATCGATTATGTCTGTGAGAGACAAAGATAAAAATACATATCATTGTTTCACGTGCATATATATATATATATATATATATATATATATATATATATATATATATGTGTGTGTGTGTGTATAATCATAAATTTATATATACTTACTTATATCTATACAATGATGGCCTCAAAAGTGTGTGATATATTTAGATATACGTACGCGCGCATTCATACACACTCACATGACGACAGTAAAAAATTCAGAGAAATGCTCTCACGCACATATTTATACATATTCACACTCAAACACACACACACACACACAAATATATATATGAATTGTGTGTGTCTGCAAAGAGAGATAGAGAGAGGGGGGAACAGTAAACGTAGCAATAAAAGATTAATGCTGTCGTCTTTTGTAAATGGTTATTGTAGAAGTCATTTTGTGATTATAAAAGAAAATTGTGAGGATGAATCGAAAGACTGAAAGTTGGAAGATAAGCAAGAGAGCAAAGAAGAAGATAAGGAGTACGAGATGAATGACGTTGTTGTGCCATTTGCGAATCGTAGACTTTAAAAATGCAACAATGTCCTTCTCTTGTGGGAACGTAATTCCTGCTCTGTTTGAGCGAGAGTTTTATTCGTAAGGATAAGTTGCTTTCAAGGGACAATACTGTTTTTACCTAAAGCATTCAACTTTCTGCACATCTTGAAAGACATGTGCAAAGCCATTTAAAAACTGTTGTTTTTAAAAATGGCATAATTTTGGTGATATGCAGTGAAAAGTAAAGACAAAGGATATTAAATAAAGGATATTAAGAATAAAACGTATTAGTTGTGGAGACAAGTATATCAAAGTAAAAAGAGTAATGAATTGGTGACGGAAAACTTTATTATTATTAGGAAGATGGAAAAGAAGTGCTAGCAATTTGGCAAGTATATTGAGAAAGATTTTCGGCTCTTGATGTCTTTTGAAATCAATCAGAAAATGTTCGTATATATAATGTAGACGTCAATAATAATATTGTTTCTACAGCAAATTATATCAGGATCTTGTTAAAATTATTTGAAGATTTAACATTGTTAAAGTTATTTGAAGATGTGCGATTCTCAAAATAACTGCTTGTGAATATGTTTTGTTTTTCTACATGAATGATTTCACCGATCATCACTTTTCCATTTCACCTACTTCTCTCTCTTTGTCTATCCTTCGATTAATTGTACACAGCTCATAGTAATAATAATCCAAATCACCCTCCATCTCCAGAAGTGTCCCTAAAGTATATACACAATTTGTTAATAGTAATTATAATTATTAACTGAAAATGAATTAAACACTTTCATAAAAAAGAAAATAGTTTAGTAAGAAAAGTAATAAATGCTTATATTTAAATGACGTTTTATTTACAAATGTTCAGTAAAAGCAACGATACTAAAGCTATTAGCTTATAAACTGTTTAGGCACTTTTGCTGGAACGTTTATTTCAATAGAATGAAATGATAGCACAATGATAACATATATGTTAATTGGCATTTATTATAAAAGGATTTCAAAGTCTTTAATAAACTTTCAGGAAATAACTATAACTAACAACTGTATATATACTTTTATCAATTTGTATATATATATACAAGATCTGTCAAAAAGGTATCTAGCTATTTTGAATATCTCGAGAATGGTTTTGGGACCTTGAGTTAACAGAAGAGAAGGGAAGTAGACTTTTCAGACTGTGGGTGAGATTAAGAAGAGCGTCATGAGTAAACAAATAACAATTCTGAAAGAAGACTTTGCAGACACTTTTGTGGAAGACACGATGAAATACGTATGTGAGATACCAAGGGGATTAGTTTGAAGCGACAATACCTAAAGTAAGCTAATTTTCGTTAATAACTTTTACGTGTGTAGCTGCATACTTTTCGGACAGATTTCAGTTGAGCCTGTGTGCATATATGTGTGTGCGCGCCAACGCTTACGTACGTGCGTGAGTGGTGGTGGGTGTAAACAATACTATACTCAGGGTAGCTGAAAACATCGTGTCATCTGTCTACCGCTTTAAAAATGGTTTTTGCTTCATATCAACAACTTATGTCAATTTTCAAAGGAAAATCTATGAAATAGTTTTCTAATAAACTTTTGAATAATTTTTGTAGTCATTTTTTTCTTCAGTTCCTTGTTACATATTACAGCTAAATATTCGAAATCTCAGTTAAAATTAAATTGATAATTCTATTTCTTTCCAGTTATTTATTTTTGCCACTCAAGTACTGAGCGTGTTCCAATGTGTATTTTTGTTTTTGTATGCATTTAAATGAATGTCACAATTTAGATATATGTTTGTTGACACGACTAGAAGAATGTGGAGAGAACGAAGTATGTTTTCGAATAAACCTATATCTTTTAATATATTTCTGTTTGTCTATTTCTTTGTCTTTCTGCTAACATTTTTATTTAGTCAACAATTTTGTTCCCAAAACATAGTCATTCATTAGCCCTCTACCTGTTTTTGCGATTAATGACAGTCCGTCTTAATAAAAACCCTTTCAATACCATTTAGAAAACTATGGAAATATCCCTGTAAATATTTTGATGAGTTTAAGTATTTGAATACTTGAATTGAATTACTTATTAGTACGTTTCCCACACATACATACATACATACAGACAGACAGACATAAATGTTTACATTCATTGTTTGGTCTCCGTGAACAGTCAGCTAACATTAACGAATTACAATGGGTGCAATTTTTTTTCCATTTGGAGGAATTCAATGACATTTGATAAAGAAAGAACCGACAAGATCTGTCTGCTTAGACTTTTTCCAATTTTTAAATAAGGTGTTCAGTTGTTTTGTTCAAGTACTTTTGATCATCGTAGCCATTATCAATTTCGAGCAGGATACTCAACATTTTATTCAAAAATTGAAAAAATACAATAAAAAACTAAACAGAAAACTTGTTTGGATGAATACTTATTGCCTTTGTTGCCTAAATATACTTTATTCATATACATACATGCATGCATATATATATATATATATATATATATATATATATATGTATATATATGTGTGTGTGTGCGTGTGTGTATGTGTGTGTATGTGTTTGTGTGTGTGTGTTATGTGTGTTTGTGTGTGTACACATTCAAATGATTTTTTCACTGCTCATAATCTCACATGCGTATGCAAAATACAAATGGTACATACAGTCAAAAATTCATTCCCCATACTCTCTTCTTTAGAATTATCTGACATTTGAAATATTTTAAATATATTCAGTCGAAGTGCATGTGTTATAGTTTTCCAAATTCAACATCACCTAATCAGTAACTTGATTGTTATTTAGTTTTGAACAACACGTTTAATTCCTAAGTATAGCAATAACTTTTATTGCGGGAATATGTTATGTTTTATCGACATACATAAATAAATAATATATAAGGAGTTAAGGTAGTGTAATGTCCACACACACAAATACACACAAGCGAAACGTTTTAGAATTAAACATGGAGTAAAATGCAAATACCATAAAGAAGAAAAACATTAATAGCAATCTCAAAGGACAATCATTTAATTCACATATGTGAAGTACAATATCTACATATATATATATATAGGAAATATTATAATCTGTACGACTTTCATGTTTTCGGAATTAGATTGTATAAAGGTTAATTTTAATGGATAATAATAATAATAATAACAAATATGCAAATTAATTTAAAAATGAACACTAAAACCGTGTTGCCAGTTAACAAAAGATTTTAAAGCCTTTTCCAAGTTTCTTAACTGTTCTTATCTATGCATTCCAATCCGATAACTCTCTTTCTATCACTAGCCCTCTCTGTATCTGTTTTTCTCTCTCTCCCTATCTCTCTCTGTCGCTGTCTGTCTCTGTCTCTCTCTTTCTCTCTTCTCTCTATATATATATATATATATATATATATATATATATATCCTACTTTTCTCATATCTATCTAACCGTGCAATGTCAAATTGATTCGTTTATTAGCAAAAAACCTTCTACTTTCCTCTGCAGATGCCGAACGAAATGTCTCTATTGAAATCAGTAAGTAAAAAAAAATTTTTTTTCCTAAATACTCATTTAAAAAAGATAGAAAAACTTCTCCGGCTATGCATCTTGCATATTAATATAAAGCTTGCATCAGTCCCTTATCAATCCCTTTTAAGTACCTTATCAAACCATCAATATAATCGGCATGTTTATTCAACTATAACATATTGCACTTGGTCATATGTTACATGAAGAAAAAAAAAGAACATAGTTATGATTAAACAAAACATAAGTAGGATATATATATATATATATATATATATATATATATATATATATATATATATGAAAAATAATTTTTGAGGCATGAAATTCTTTGCAACCACTTTTAAATGTGTTGATAGCTTGCATCTTTTGGTGACATAATTCGAAAACTAACGTTTTAAAATGTTTTAAATAATAACACGGATGTGAATGACATTAAATAAATCAATCAAATATATTCCATTAATTTAAGATATA